AGGAGATCCTCTCCATTTTATACTTGTGACTAAAGCTGCTAAGCCGATCTAATCCTTTCCGAATGGGTTAGTATTAACCTCTGCGACTGAAGTTTGCAGAGCTGAACCCAATGGAGCGTATCTCCCAAGTAAATGTGCTCAGGATCCGTCTGCGTGCACCCAATCGGCGTCTAGGCAAGACTTTATGACCGTTTCTTCAAGAGCCTCAAGTAAAAATGAGTGCCAGAGGAGTAATATTTCTTCATAATCATGGAAGAGGAAAAACAAAGTCGAAACTCCACAGCGAGGAAGTTGTTGAAGATTTGAATTTTTTTTAAAAAAATGGACGAAAATGTGCAAACGATTAAAACTAAAATGTTTTCATTAACCAGAACTTCTTACATCGAGTACCACGCGCAATAAGGTGGAGGCGCTCACCCCCAACCGTGCAATCCTGCGCACACTTTACTCAGAAGTAACCAGCATTTCTTACATCGAGTACCACGCGCAATAACGTGGAGGCGCTCACCCCCAACCGTGCAATCCTGCGCACACTTTACTCAGAAGTAAACCCCAATTAGCGCAACGGGACTTCATCGCAGAGGAGGCAACGACAAATTCAAGCAGATGAAGATCTCTGTTGTTTGACAGACTTCAAAGGAAACTCTTAATTGCTTTCAAGAATCGCGCGTTAATTATAATAACAATTGCGTACATTCAAGTTCATTCTGATTTACCGCGATCCTTCCCAGGATTTTCCAGGTAGAGACCAATGAAACGGTGCATTTTACCTAGGCCACACAAGGCTAATTCTTCTTGCAGGAGGGACAGTGGGGAATCAAACTTTACTTATACCGTACTGTAGTGTAAAAAAAAAATCGGGTTTACACAAGGCTCTGAGGCTCGTGGGGAAACAGGGGCTTGCTTGCACGAGCTCCCGGCCTCGCATGGAAATTTTGCGCTTCTTTACTGGAGAGTAAGTCCAGCTGCATCAGATGGGGCTCACTCCTAAGGTAAAACTCCTAAGGACTAACAACTTCGCGGCACAACCCTATCAACCGGAGTCACTCCCAATCTGGCCAGTCAGAGTTACTCAGAGGTAAGAATTCATGAAATCTTAAGTCTCCTTAATTAAAGCAGATTAACTCGGATCCGCAACGATTTACTCTCCAGGAAAGGCAGCGCCACCGTGAGGAGCCCTCACGGCATTTTCAAAAATCATCTGGAAATCTTATGTACAGTACTGTACGGTTTATTCGTGACATACCCGTTTAGGATCGCGCAGCTCGATCCTAGGCATTGTGCACTGCCTAAGGAAAACAGCTCCGCCTGACGGCTCCGAAGACGCTACAGAGCACAGCTGGCGACGGCCCAGCACTCCAGCCTTGCAACTGGAGAGCGACTCGCGAGTAAGCAGGCGCCAGTCTTCGGGACTTTCCAAAGCTGCAGCGCGCCTGTTCTCCTCCTCTGGTCCCCGGCACGTCCCCCTTGATCAGCCGAAAACTGACGGATACTGAAACTCGCACCCGGTC